AGAATCAGAAGATGATACTGGAACACTTACACCAGAACATCAGTAAGTTCAAGCCTCTGAATGGCATCAGGCAGGTGACAAAGGCAAAGCAGGATGAACCCAGATGAGAAATCAGGATTTTCATTCCTAATTGGAGCTCCGATGCACAATGGCTCCATCCCTTGTTCTCAATTTGACACATGCATATGGTCATGTACTGGACCTAGGTAGTCATCCATGTGTCCTGCTGGCTGGCTTGTATGCATTCTTCCGACCTCAAGGGTAGAGATGGGATTTGTAAAATCAAGGCTTCTGTTTCCCTCTCCCTCCTGCAGGAGTGGATGGGACAGGAATGAAGCCTCTTAGTATTGGGAGGAAGCTGTGGAGGAAAAAAAAAAAAGTGGCACTTGTTAAGGAGCAGTTGGAATTGGACTGAGAGGTAGTTTGGGAGCAGGAGGAGTGAAACAAAAAATCAAGAAAGTTTGGGAGTCGAAGTCAAAATTTCCCCCTCTTCCTACCTGATGATGCAGTCTAGCAATAAAAAAATGTTCCCATTAAGTCATGTAATTCATGACTTTGCAGACCCCATTCTCCTGTCATTAAATTTGTGGCAAATATGAGAAATCAGTGAGACATGACCAACATGAAGATCAATTGGAGAACTTTGAACTTGAACTTTCATCCTGGAGAAAATTTTGGCCAAAGTGTTTGAGTTTGAAGTATTTCATTTTTGGAATGCAGACATTTATTTGTATTCAAAGCCAAGGCTAATAGGCCTACTGACTTCTCAGGAATTGGAAGATAACAGGGAAATAAATCACAAGCCTTAAAAGAAAGTCTCTTGATCTTGCAGGTGGAAAAAGTCTGCCATGGATGATGTTTCTTTGTTGTAAGCATTCCTCAGGAAACTTCACACTTTTTGTTATAGATGGAGATGCGTGAATCCCTTTCAAAGGCCAGGAAGAAAGTGAATGAGCCCAGCTCAGTATCCCGACTCTTGAGCGCACTCCAGCATAATGATGCAAACTTCCTCCCAGCTATGAAAAAGTATCATGAGAAATATGTGGAGCTGAAGAGGAAACTTGCAGGTGCTCTCTGTTTTTTTTACCCATAACTTTTAGTGTTATCTGTGTAAGGGATAGTTGTGTTTTTATCAACGAATTTCATTTTAGTGTAATTCTAATTGAGTCTGCTTTCCCATTTTTACTTTTTACTTGGTCATATTTCAATCACATTCATGTTGCTGCTTATTAGCCTTCTCTATTGGATCATTAATCCATTATTTGTTTTCATTCTTTTTGTTAATTTCTACTTTTCACTGACCAGAAGCTTTCTTCTTCCTTAGAAATTCTACATGAAATTCTCCTCATAATTAGCTGAAAGAATGAGAAATTGAAAAAAGTAGAAGACAGCATTAGACCAATTCCTAGAGAAATATATGTAATATTGTTCTCCATAGCAGAAGAGTTGGTTGTACTGGGTGATTCAGAAGTCATACAACTCAAAATAAACCATGCCATGACCAAAATAAATATTTTCTTTATTTTAGGTTGTGTAACTTCTGGATCACCTTGTATAATGGCCCTGCTTTTATGCTTATCTTTAAGGTCCAATCCTGCTATGCATACTTAAAGTTGCAAATTTAGCCATATTTGGCCAACTTTGACCTTCAATAACTTTTCTTTGATTTCAAATACAGGTATGCTTCTTCCACAGAATGGTAGAACTCTCAAAGCATTTTCGAGCCATTATAGTCTCATTGTGTTATTCCAAAGGCCTGAACATTGAGAATTTATTTTCTTGACCATCTTGAGCTAGATTTACCATTAAGTGCTCATCTCCACTTGGATCATCTTTGGGAAAAAGAAAAGCATCAAACTCGATTTTATGGGTTTGACATCATTTGGGAACAGCCTATGAGCTTTTTCAAACCATTGCATAGTTTAATATTTCATTAAAATAATCCCTTAATGGGGATGCACAATATTGTAATGCTTATCATGTTATGAGCAATAGTTTTAGACTGTTTTTTTTCACCTTATGCAAGACATGCTTTTATTTATTTATCATAGATGAGAACCCTGAAATGAAGGAGACACTACGGTTAGTCCCTGATGAATTTCCTACGCAACTTCAGGAGGGTTTTGTATTGGGAGGGGCAGGTGGAATTTCTCAGCCAAGGGTATTACCTCCTCCAGGTTCTACTACAACACAGCACCCACAGGAACACATTGGTGAGAACAGTGCCAACAGCTAAAGTTGGCTGTCTCAAAAAAAAGTTAACATTGCATGATCTGATTTTTCTTGTATTATTCTAAACTTGAAGAAAAATCCCTAAGCATTAAAAATGATAAATAACTACTAAAGAGATTACTTTCACTAAAAATGAACCTTGAAGTTTTCCTAATGAGGATTCCATGCTCATTAGACTCTGACATTACTTGTGACAGTGACATTATCTTCTTTTGCATAGGAGTACGACGAAGCAAGCTAATAGAGAGAGCATTTGCTGGTGCAGTGCCCACTCGAATGGTAGCGAAATGTCTGAATGCGGAAGAATCTCCCACAAAGATCGCAGAAGAATGTGACAGGTGATGCATGTCCGCAATTCAGTTATCCCCTTTGTAGGAAAGTCTTCACAAAATTCCACTTTTGAGATGACTGGGATATGTCGACTGCTGTTTTATATCCACAAATAGAATAAGAATGCTTTACCTGAATGTGTTCTTGGTAATATCCTTAATGTCCTATGGTGCAGCTCTCATTTTAAAATTGTGGAAATTATGAAGCACATCTCTTCAGGTGCAAAAGATCCAATTAATCACTAGTTTTTCTGTGGATTTGGTGCTTAACAAAGCTACAGAGATATGTGTGTGCATTTGAAATGGTGAGCTCCTCTTGTTTCAGGAACATGTGTATTTGATGACTTCCAATGGTGAAAGGTTTACTATCCAAGATCCATTTACCACAAAGAGTATTGGCTCAAATAAAAGTAGGTTTGGGGAAAAATGGAGCAGGGGTTGGATAATTGGAGATTTGAATAAGTTTGCCAGCAGACTTCATGGAACTGCAGCTGTCAGTTTCTTTTGACACCAAGGACAGTTTCTTGCTATTAAAGTGCTTGCCAAGGGCACATGATGGATCCTTGAGGTCCCTGTATTTGTAATTACTTCAATAGGGAATTTTTCTATGATGTGAGATAGGTGATGTAAAATGTTATGCATGTTTTTGCAGCACTGTGCACTTTTTGCTCTCTTGTGAAAACTGTAAAATCCATTGGGTGTATTAATTTTCAGTTCCCTATGTGTTAGAAAGTAAATATAAAATACTATGTGGTGTAGGTCTTGAGCCTCTTGCATTCTGAAAACTTAAGTATGTACTCAATGTACACAATCTCTACACTCCCATAAAATTTAAATGAAGAGCATTGTTTGATAACTAAACTAAATAATCAGGCATGTGTGGAACTTCTGGATAGTGTGAAATTATTTTTTACCTTGTGGATGCATGTGATACCTTCTAGGAAAGAAAAGAATTTTACTTTGTTGTTTTTCTCTCTGTGCAAATTGGGTTCAGCTCAATGATTCCTGGCATACGGCTTACTGTGTCATATGCAAATACTAAAAGTGACTGGATGGGAAGCCCATCATGTGCAATTTTGCTTTGAGATTGATGATGCTGACTGAAAGTTTTCTGGATGCAGTTCTACAGGGAAAGGAGATGGAAATTCAAAGACAGCAGAATCACCAAAGTCGAGGAGAGACATCCTTGTTTCTTGTGAGAGGGACTCCCTCCCTTCTGAAAATTCAGATGTTCAAGATCATTCTGATGATGAAGAAATCATCTTACCCCATGCACCAACTTGAAGTCTGGTGTTGGCACTTTCTGATCTTTTGCTGACATTCTCATTGTATTTTGTCCATTGCTTAAAAAAAAAATTTTTTTCACGGGTCTCATTCATTGCTTTGGGTTTTTTTTTTATAATTCCAAAATTAAACATTTGCATGCATAATGTCAGATTTGTTTTTGCTGTGCTAAAACACCAGATGAATTCGTAACACTGCCCCGACTGCACTCAAAGAATAGGACAGCACCTAAGGCAAATTATTTTTCATCATTATTCACTGTTCATGAATTAATGATGTACTCCCATGTAATTTGCAGAAAATATTAAAATGAACTCTCTAGTTGGTTCATAATGTGCATATTGATGCATTAATTAAGCTCAGCACCAGGAAGCAATGCTTTATAAATGCAACGACTTGCATGGCTAGATCTAATGAATTTTAGATAAGTGACTGTTTCATAACCCTTTAAGTTGATTTAACAGATAATACAACGCATGGAGAAGCCATCCAGGAGCCGGACACATCAGCATCATATTCGTAGTGAAACCTGAGCAGTGGCGTGCCCAAAGGGGGGGGTTGGGGGTCATTACCCCCCCTCATTCGGATTTCCTGTGCACGTTACTGAACCTGAGAATGGTCCATTTATGACAGAACATCATGAAAGGGCATCAGGCTGTCTTATAATTAGGGTTGGACTTGGTAAGAAAAATCTTGCCAAGAAAAAAGCAAGATTGTGTCAAGATGACTACGATGTCACGACCAAGTAAAATGAGGGGAGAAAAAAAAAATATTCAAAAGTTTATTGACACTTGACTGGGCGTTAAGGGTAGAGGACATCTTGTCAAACCTTTGCAAGAAACGAAATTCAAGATCTTCCCAAGTGTCTTGTTTGAAATCCAACCTTACTTATAATAAAACACGCATAGGTAGATGCAAGACCCAAGTACTGATGAATTTTCTGAGCCTTGACTCTTGACATGGTCCCATGTGTTCAAGTGGTACTGACGTTTCAAGGGAGAGCGGAATTTCTTGGAAGATGACCCACGTTCCGGAACACCTACAGCAGGCACGTCGGAAATCATCGAGAAAGTTAGGGAATGCGTCCGTAGGAATCGTCGCCAGGGAGTTCGAGAACTTGCATCATCTGTTACCATTTGAAACACCATACCGTTTTGACAGGATTGACCAATTGCACCATGTCTGCTAGCACTGTTCCGCGTCTCCTCATAGACGATCGACACCACGATCGCGAGGCAATCTACAGAGACCTCATATACCCTGCAGACGTCGACCCTACCCCATTAACGAAGATCGTAACAGGAGACGAAACGTGGTGTTTTCTGTACGATCCGCAAAGCGACAATTATCTGTGTGGAAGAACAAGGAATAGCCGCGTCCGAAGTTCCACACAGATCGCTCCTTAGGAAAGTCATTTTGGAATTTTTCTTCGACTACCACGGCATTATCCATTACGAATTCATTCCCGAGGGGTGAACGGTCAACAATGAGTTATTCAGAGATGTTTTGCTTTGTCTCCGTGACACAATCTGGAGGAAACGACCAGAGATGTGGGCAGTGAAAAACTGGATTCTTCATCACGACAACGCTCCCGCTCATCCATCGCCGATGGTGACGCAGTTCTTGGCAGACATGGGAACAATTGCCTTGCCACATCCACCTAGAAGTCATTTTCATACTTTGCGTAACAAGCGTCCTTCGCGAAAATGCCGGGGCAGGCAGGCAGACGAACGCGTGTCCACTTACATTCAAGGATTTTCACAAAACGCAGGGCTTCCGTGTAAAATCGGGATGAGCTCGACTGAAAAACGCAAGCCTTGCGTTTTGCGAAGTTAGGAGACACGCGTGCGTCTGCCTACTTGCCCAAGCAATGAAGCAAAAGACGCATGACACGCAAAGTGGGAAACGACATTTACTCGCTCAGTCTCGCTCCGTGCGATTTCTACCTGTTCCAGCGGATGAAGAATCTTCCGAAAGGCAGGGCCGCCCAGAGGTTTCCAGGGGCCCGGGGCAAAACTAAACCGGAGACCTCCTTGGGGGCCCCCTTGAGGAACTTTGGAGGCCTCCTGGGACCCCTTGATAAGTGGGGCCCGGGGCAGATTGCCCCAATTGCCCCCCCTCTGGGCGGCCCTGCCGAAAGGAAGACGCTTTCCGAACGCCTATGAAGCGATGAAAGCTGCAACAGCCGCGCTGAAGGAGGTTGCATCAATTGGGTTCGCCCCCCTGCTTCCACAGGTGCCCGCATATATGTGACTAGCCAGGGCCACTACCCTGAAAGAAACACCAGCTAAATTGCTCCAGTTGTGATCAATAGAGTGAACGAGATCCAGTCCAAAACTTTTTGAACCTACTACGTATAAGAGAATCCAGGAATGCAAGCACTTGATTGAGTATTTAAATGCAAAATACAAATGCCCATGAAAAAATGTATTGAAAATGCAAAGTATAAATACAGCCCAATAATATTATTTCAAAGACAAAATACATATTTTAAAATACAGTTTAAAGTACAAAATATGAAAATTTTCAAGTTTACATCATGCCTTTCAGATTTTGTCCAAAATCAGGAACCCTTCAATAGTCCTGACCATTGGCCTTCACAGCACATTGGTTGAACATGACATTCTGTTTCCCTTTCCGAATCCCAGACTGTTCCCCTTTATACCATTTTTATTATAATTCACAACGAGAAATGGATGTACTCTCTGAAAGCAAAGAACATAAATTTTAACTTGCATTGGCAAGATTTGGGCTTGCACAAAGCCTAGGTCTAAAGATGGCCAATATATCACAAATCAAAAACCTTGTGTGGGCCAAGGACAGGTTAGGTCAGCATATGCATGCCTACCCAAGTAGCACATAGGTGGTGGGCCACCAACTACGTTTGGGGAAGAGAGTTGGTGGCCCATCACCATGACTAGGTTGTGGGCCACCAGCCGCATGTCCCACTTGCCAGTACTGGCCCGCCACTTTCCGGGCCGCTTAAGGGCCAGTACATTACCGGTTAGCTCGTTTGTGGTGTACCACCAGCTGGGAAGGGTTCTAATGCCTCCATATACAGTACGCGTCAAAATTAACGTACCAAGGTTATCTCTTATTCAACGAGAGACGTAGGAAAACCTTCTATATCAACAGAAAGTACATACAGAGCCCTGATCTCAATACAGAGTATAATCGCCCTGCACTTTTGACTACAGCACGTAATCGGCCCGGCATAGAGTCTGCCAATTTTTCGGCGAATTCTTCACTCAGACTCTCCCACTCCTCCTTAATTACTGCTCTTAAAGTCTTGATCGTTCTGGGGCGCCAATGCGCCACTTTGACCTTCAGAAGAGCCCACACAATCTCTATGGGGTCGAGGTCGGGAGACTGCGACGGCCAGTCCAAACGGAACACCCCATTCTCAACCCTCCGGTTGGTCGCCTGCTTTGAGGTGTGCTTTGGATCATTGTCCTCCTGCAGCTCCCAAGTTTTCATTGAATCGGGAAACAGTAGCTGCAGAATGCAAGAGGGCACGCTCATAAATGATCTTCAGCAGATGCGCATCCAGGTTTTGGGTGAAGGTACTGCATCTAGGGGAGTGCCAGCTACATTCTCCACCCTGAACTGGCGGCCCTCCTACCTACAATAGATAGCGGCCCAGCAACTGCATGTCCAACTTGCCGCCACGTTCCCGCCCCCGGCAGAAATCCGCCAGTGTAGTGCCTGGGCCATTTATGGCCCACTACTTTTGCGCTACTTGGGCATCTAATAAAGAAGATAAACCTTCTGAGGTAGCCATGTTTGAAATTCCACCAAACCAATTAAAAAGTTTTATTTTTTGTCAAATGTATTTCAAATGTTTTTTTTTGTTGCAGAGAACTGTATTTCAGTATACATATATAATTGTATAAAATACAAATACATATTGTGATATGTATTTAAAAGCAAAATACAAAATACCTAAAATGTTTTTAAATACGTATTCTAAATACAACTATTTTAAATACTGCCTACCTCTGCAAGGGACGCTTTACTTTATTGCTGGTTCTCTGGCTTTTGGCAATTTCTTGACACTTTCCCCATAGACCCTGTTATTTTGGGTGTTTCACTTTAAGCGACCTTTGGGCAGGGCCGCCCAGAGGTTTCCAGGGGCCCGGGGCAAAACTAAACCGTAGACCCCTTGGGAGCCCCTTGAGGCCCTTTGGAGGCTCTCCATGGGGCCCCTTGATACGCGGGCCCAGGGCAGATTGCCCCATTTGCCCTCCCTCCCTGGGCGGCCCTGCCTTTGGGCATGGCGATGATATCGAAAAGCATTCGACTGCAGATGTCCCGAAGACATTCCTTTCGAAATGTTGGAAACCGTCCGGCTGAAGATGTCCTTAGATGGCCCATACAGACCTTGGGATAGGTCTTCCAGTTGGGGACATCCCTGGGATGTCACCGGGCTTGGGGAATAACCCACACTCACAATACTGCTCCCCCTCTGTACGTACTGCCATCCCACTATCCCCCTTTCAGCTCGAAATAAAACAAGCATATAAACAGAAGACATGCCATAAAGTCCGTGCTGCATTGGCTAACAGAAATGTTAATGTTATTTTCGTTCCTGAGCAACATCTCTAGATGGATGTGCCTGTAATATATGACATCGCTGCTTCTGCCATATTGGCAGAAACTGTTGTTCGTCTGGTATGTAAGCGTCTTCTTGGGTGAGAAAAACATGAATAATTACGAAGATATGAGTGAAACTGGTGCAGGTGAGTACGGATTTCTTTTGATATCATACTTGGCATACAGAAGGAGCCTTTTTTCGCTTAATGAGATGTGTGGAAAAAGAAGTCAATTGTGATTTTATCGTGATGTCCGTCTGCTGTACGTTCTTGCGGCAAAACCGGACAGCGGGCCACATGAGGTCCACACCCCTCTCTCCAGTTTTTGTTTCATTTTACTGTGTGGCCTTAGAAAGCAGATTCATTCAGCGTTTATTATAGAAGATTACTAATTTTTTTGTGGTTTTTGCTGCGAAGGCGCAGGCCTGGGTTTCGACTTGAACTTGTATGCCTATGGAAGTATACCTGACAGTATACTTCCACATTTCTAATGGAGGGTTGACCTGTGCTTAACATAAGCCCAGTCCACGTAATCCGCAGTCGAGACCCGATTTTATTGTTATTATTACTATTTACTGCTTAATGGTTTGTAGTGTTTCTCAAAGAAATTTTCTGAAATATACACATCCCTGAAAGCTGACAGTGGTGAAAGAAGACTAACGTTAGGGAGTACATGTGCTAAAAAAAAATTACCCTACTGAGAATTGGCTGGTATCAATGTCAATTGCCCAATCTGGTATTTTTTAGGCTAGGCAACAGGTAATTTGGGAATAAAATTAACATTAAAATGATATGATAGTTATTTTGAAATAGGCAGAGGCCTCAGGGGCTTATGGACATGGGTGGGGTAGCTGATGGAATTGGCATTGATGGCTTATCTCAGGGAATAATTTAAATATCACTTGATGGAAGGGCCAAACCCAGACAGTTAAAAATGTTTCCAGCAATCCTACTTGAAGTTGTTTCCTGTGATTATATGCAGTGAGCACAAAAGTTATTAGAGTCCATTTATTGAGGCTCTTGCTTCTCATGTATGTAAATTCATTATTCATGGGATCTTGTGCTTGAGGTTCATTTATGTTATTTTTCAACAGACCATTTTGCTGTTGGACACCTATAGTTGCCTGATACCTACAGACAATTTTTCACTTGACTTTTAGTCAAGCCTTAGAAACATCCATGTACAAATGTCCAAGTCAAGTGAAAATTGTCAGACTCTAATGGAAAACACAGTACAGTGTTTTCCGCTAGAGCCTGACAATTTCTAGCTAGGGCTAGCTCGTATTTCAAAGTGGTTATACTTCCCTTCCCCAATCTTAGCAAATCTGATTATTTAAAAATAAAGAGCATGCTAGATATATGTGCAAAAATAATAACTTCAAAAGTTATTAGGCTTTATGCTTTATTTTATCTCAAGAAAAAAATCAACCAATTGTATTTTTTTTTAAGTATTTCCCTTCAGCCTCTATGTACATCTTCCTCTGCTCAAACCACTCTGAATTGCTACAGTGAAGTTTTCTTTGGGTATGGTCGAAATAGCTTAAAGCAAGGAAATTAGCTCTTTTTCATCAAAACTTCTCTTTGGTTTCTGGGAAGAGCCTAAAGTTAGAGATTGTCAGGTCAGGAGAGTATGGTTGATGAGGGGGGAGGGGAGAGGATTAAAACTTCAGCCTCTTGCGGGTAGGAGCAGAAGCTATATATGCTGGTGCATTGTTATGGTGGAGCTGGATGCCCCAGAGGCTAATCTTTGATTGTTTCTTGCAGAGTTCTTGAAAGACTTCTGGAAGGCACATAGATGTGTACCACTTGATCACGACTATGTGGTATTCCTAGAGTTTCATGAACATTATCACTCTACAGGAATGCACAAGAGTAGCATAGATCTTCTTCCCACAATCTAGGAACAGTGTGTCTTGACTGGTTGGGGGACCTCTTGGCCTGGCTCTTGCTTAGTCAGAGGGTCACAGAAGTCAGTAAAAAAAATATATCACCTGTGCAGATTTCACTCACTACAGGATACCCCTCATTTGAACCAATTGTGCACAAAGTGGCAGCTCCACTCTTGCATTTTCCTGGTCCTTGGTTAGGGTATGGGTGCCCACCATGCACACACCTTTCTGACATGAAGGTACTAGTCCAGGGTACTCAATACTGCCCTGATCTGATGCCCAACCCTTTCTCTATTTGTTCATATTTTGAATGAGGATCTTCTTTGATCAGTGAGTGCACCAAATCAATATTTAACTGCTGTTGGAGAGCACCCAGATCAGAGCTCTCTTGAAAGCTAATTTCTCCACACCTGAAATTATGGTAACGGTTGAATACTGTTGCATGTGAATGGGCTTGGTCTCCTGATACCCTGTGCATTTCATCAAGTCAAGCATTGCCTGACAAAGCCTCTCTTTCAGTTGTAAGAAATGATGGTATGATGTGATGTCAGTCAGTTCAGCCATGGAAAGAATCACCATCTATGAAACATCACTACATGAAGTAATTCAGTTCTTCAATGTGATTAAATTTCAACAGAGCTGGATGAAACTTGCACAAGCTGGCTAGGAGTGTCTTCAATGAATGTACAGCTTATTATTATCTACATTTGTTGGTGAAAAGTTGGAAAACTTTTGAAGTCACCCTCATAAGTACAGTGATTTCATGCTGCAGCGTTTGCTGAATCTCTGTCTCCCCTCATGGAGGTCTCATCCCTTTCAATGCCTTGAAAAGACATTATAAATGTCCTTAGAAGCTTATGCTCTATAATTCTGTGAAGAGAGTGTGAATAGGCTTTCCTGAATGTGTTTGGTAACCCCTATGAATACTTATGGAATTTTATTTAAGTTTTAGAATCTTGAATAATCCTCTATAATGTCCTGGTTTCTTGTTGAGACTGAGATGCATTGGTCATCTCTCTTTGCAGCTGGGGAAACAGATGCATCCACAAGCATTGGTGATTCAGATATGTCTTTCCCCATGAAAGGTAGGGTGAATCCAGGCCTTTTGAATGTCTTGGCTGATGTAGCATCTGCTGCAAGAGATTCAAGGAAAGCACCTGTGAGTCCACTTGGCCTTTTTTTTTTATTGTGCTTAAGGCCCTTGGCTGAAACTTAGAATTTTGGTACCAATATTGACTGTTTCTCGTGGGAATTAGATTATTAACTTAGATATATTCATGTTGGCATGGAGTACACTGCAGAGAGCATATACCTGGTATTTTCTCTTCAAGCTGATGCTTTAAATAAGCTTCTCCTTAATCCTTTTGCTGCAAAAAAGACTTCAGTTACCTGCAGTCCTATTATCTATTCAAAATTCATACTTTCAGTATCTGTAATGTACTTAGCTTTGTTCACAATGCATAAGAGTAAAGGACTTTAAATATTGCCATTAATTTAATGCGAGAAAGAACATTTTTTACTGTGCTGTGCAAATTGCACAGTCTTGTGGGCTGCTGTGTACAAGTATATATTGCCATGGTCATTTTGCTGCTGTACCATCTATATTCATTTGCCTTAGATTTATCAATTTAATTGAGTCATTTTTCCTTTTTCTTTAGAAGCAGGGAGTTTCTCCCTCTGTGAGAAGGAAAGCACAGAATTCATGTGCCTTGAGCCTCTCTGAACTAGATCAACTCTCAGGCCACTTAATGGTGAAGCTCTTCTCTCGATATGAGGCTGATGAGATGAGGAGGACATTCTCCTACAAATGCTGCCTTCTTCCAAATGTGTGCAATCAAGTTATTGCCAGTTTCAACATGGAAAGTCGAGCACGAGAAAGCATGAAACTTCACTTGATGAACCATGTCAAAGAACTTCATGATGCTGCAAGTGGTATGTTCAGAGAATGATTTGCTAAAAATTTTAATGGAAAGGTAAAGGTGCCAGTTCATAGACAGGTGTCTATTTGCAGACAATTTAGCACAATCTGCCATCTTGAAAAATCCATGCCAGAAAATCACCCATAATAGACTGCAATCAGTTGAATTGAGCAGTAAAATATATGAATTTCCTATGTAGGTTTTAAAGGAATACAGAAAACACTAAATCATCTGCAAATTGGAGCCTGTCTTTAAACTACCATCTTGACTCTTATTTTTTTTTAGACATTAAAGCTTTACAGTTGCTTTGCAAGGATTGCACTGCATCTGAAGAAGCTCTTCAGATGAAGAAGAAAAAGAACTGTATCCATCTTCACCTTGCTTGTCTGTGCAGTGTTAGAGTGGGATGGGCAAGTAAAAAATTATTCCTATATTTTGTGNTGGAATTGCATCATGGGAGAGTCTTTCATACAGGAGATTCACATGCTCATTTCTGTTCACTCAATATGAGAAGTTAAGAACAATTTGGCAATGTGCTGAATTTAACAGGTTGACCGCCACGAGGCGCACCGGTGCACCTCACTGAATGGGAAAATTAATAGGCTAGCATTGCCATGGTAGTCAACATGTTAAATTAAAAGCTATGTGCAGCAGCCTCACTCCATTTTTCTTTATTGTTTGACAATATAAGGAGGTGGTGGGGATATTCTTGTCACATAAGAAATTAGATTCTTCATCAGGAGATAATGGGAGCCTGCAGTTCTTTTCTTGAAAATTTTGGTACTAAAAATGCCAGAAACTTTGAGAGATGTGCTCAAATGAACAATACATCGACAGTCTACCAGCAGTGTCAAGTCAGTACACAATGAGGCGATAATATTGCTGTTGGGAAAAAGATTATCAGTCACCCTGTAATGTGGTGGCAAGAGAATAATTCTGAGGGATTGGTGAAATGGCAAGTAACCATTATTCAATTCAATTTATTCAATTGAGAGCTAATATAAAGTTTAGGCCCATAAAGACTGAAACTGCTGTTTGATGTTGCAAGGAGTTCTTGCAAGGAAGTCATTCAACTTCATCAATTGCAGATTATAATTTTCCTCATTCAAATGTATGTATGTATGTATGTATATAAATGTATAACTCAGTTGTAGTCTATTTGGTCATTTGGTCTATCATACCCAAACAAAATATTTGAAGTAATAATTGTCTTCATTCTATCTGATGAGGTGAGTAGGAGCTGTAGCAAGACTAGCGATGGGACTTATGATATTGTGTATTTGAAAAAGACTTGCATTTTCCAAAAGTGAGCTATGTTTGAAGCTTAAAAGAAAGATACTCCCTAAGAATAAAATAAAAAATCATGATGCGGTAGTCTGCTATCAGTCATGCATACTTCATGTTTTCCACTTCTGCCCTAACGACAGAGGGAAGGTTGGATCCTTCAACTTTCCGCATCTCCCCGATCAACAGCCGTCCAAAGAAAAATGAGAAGAACACTGATTTGGCAGTTGGTGTCCCAGTGACTCATCCTTGTAGTGCAAGGAAAATGGAGGTGAAATGTCACCGACAAGATGCTGGACTTGAGCAAGTACCTGATGATTCTACTCTGTTGGATGCTGGAGAAGGACTTCTGAGTGAATTATTCCAAACATACATGGAAAAGTGCCAAGGCATCCAAGAACTTGGAGACCACAGCTATTTCTATGGCACCAAAGTCCATCAGCAGTCAGGAGAAATGCCTACTGCTGAAGATCATGATGATGAAAACTATGAAGATGAAACCAAGATGAGGCATCATTGCAAGTGTTGGTGGAAATCCATAAAGGGAGACAGAGTACAAGGCCGGTGTAAAACCCGTCTGCCTCAGGCACCAATACATAGAGCTATGTACTTGGAGCCTATCAATGTTCATGGTGTGGTGAGTAGCTTATGCCTTTCACATGGTACCATCATTCCATTTACCTTGATTCAATTACCATGGTCAGTTCATCCTGTTTGTTATGTAGAGGAGATACCACCCACCATTGAAATTTGTTTTATATCAATTAGCTCACTTAACTCTCACATCATTTAAACAATTCTAATGGCTTGCAAGGGGAAAAATCATGATTGATATTGCCTGATAGGTGTTTCAATTTCTTGCCTTTGGGAGTGGTTGGAAAATAGATGGATACACATCTAGGAGGAACAGGGTAGTCTCTCTTGAGAAAGTAGTTTGGAGCAAGTCTTTTCTGATTAGTATTGATGTTCTTTTTATCATTAGAAGAAATTAATCATTCCCCATTGTTCATGCTTTCTGTGAATTGACCATGAACGCATTCTCATACTGCTGAGAAAGTATATATATAAGAAAACTTGTGATTTTTCCTTGCACGTTGCTGTTTGATTCCAGTTTGTGAAATGCCGCGATTTACAGAGCATTGACCAGCCTTTACCTTCAGTGGGTGGCGAAATGGAGCTGCAAGTTGAAGATTCCTACCCAGTGATGCGATCAGGTGATTCATATGTTATGAAACATCTTTTTTACAAACTTGGATACCATGAAAAATCTGTTCTTGGACCAATCTATCTAGAGCACTGAAAAGTAATATGCACAATGCTGTAATCTAGTGAAGAGTTGATGGGACATGCCTGTATACTCATGTTAACTTGATTTTTTCTTCCTTGCTTTAATATATCTTCCAAACATCCATGGTAATCCAGGAGACCTTCCAGTCGTGAGTTTGGACCAGTGCGACCATTTGTATCCTGTGAGGAGCAAAGCAGACACAAGCAGAGACAGCGGTGATTCAGAAGAGAAGGTAAGGTGCCACTGCTTCTCCTGAAGGCACTATGAAAGGGTGGGCTGAAAATGAAAAGTTCCTGGACTCTTAAAAATATCACATGTAAGGTAAGAGAGACAAATTCTGACCAGTTAACACGTTGAGCTTATGCTCATGTGTTGTGTGGGCATGACAATTTGTGTGAACTACATTTGAAAAGCAATCGAAATTTGATTCGTGACAGGTCTTTTAAAAAAAAAATGTTAATTGTCCTCATTCTTTTGCAATGTTGATCATATAGTTGTAATGTGACAGGTTTTGGGCTTTTAGCTATACATTTTTGTTGTCAGGACAGAAGAAATAGTATTACTTTTTTCTAGATTCAAAAGAATTCCCTGAATCAAAATATTTGAATATTCAGCCAATTTCTAAATGGCACATCTGTATGTAACTTTGTGACCATCTTTAGTCACATTTTTGGTTCAGATTTAATGTCAGTTAAACTAGTCTCCAGCAATGTTGTTTGTTTGGTTTTTCTTTACTTGTTCATATTTTCATTCTCCTGTCATTGTGACTGTCTTCTGTACACTGATGATTTCTTCCTTTTTCCCATCAGCAACAAGCCTTAATGATGCTTTCAAAACTCAAAAGTGCACCACCTCGAGGGAAGGGCCAATCCAAGTACCAATGTGCCATATGCAGTCCTGTCAAGACTTTCACTGCACTCATGTCCTTAATGGGCCACCTCAGAAGTCATGCAGGTCTCTGATTCATGCAGCATGATTAATTGTCACTCATTTTAAAATATAAGGAAGTTTGTATGGTAAAATTTTCAATCTCCCCATAGCTTCTCTAGCAGGTGCAGATTTGGAGTTGAGATTGAGTTCTTTTAAATTTTAGTGAAGTGATTTAAGGATATACTAAAAATGGAAAATTTCATCTTTATAGTATCTAATTTTTTCTACATCTAGAGTAGAAACAGTATTTTGCAGCCATGTTGGGCAACCATTTTTCCTGTTATGAACTAGAGATCATTCCCACATGCATTACCCTCTTGGAGTAATAACCAATGAACCAAAGAAGGGCTTGAATATGTTACTTTTTAACTGTTGAGGGTAAAAGTATTTTGAATTGTTCTTTCCTT